GATTAACAAATGATGTTTTTATGGCATTTGGAACATCTGAATTACATTTTGTGATAAAGTGTTCCTTACTAAGGCAATTTAAACACAAGTTATTGTTTTTAACTATTTCATATCTTTGGTTTGGATTTAATTTTTAAAATGAATAACATTTATTATCGGATGATTATTTTTTTTACATATCACACAAGTGGAAGCGCTATCAATTTTAACGATCAGAGCCTTTGATTTTGAACTTTTTCTAATGGCTATTTTTCACTGTACTAGTATTATGGTGTAAAAAATTAACATCTTTTCTCTAAAAACGAAATTAATTTTTAACTGAAAACTTCTGTAGCATTAATGCTAGTTCAGATTGTTTGTGTGTTTTGTAATCTAGCTTCTGAAGTACAGTATTTAATAACAGAATTTCTGATAAATGATTTTTCTGATACTAACATCAAATCTTAAGTTTTCGTAAAATTATTTGTTACATATCTTCAACAATTCAAAGTTAAATTATGTAAAGCCAGTATTGACGTTATATGCATCTCAGTTAAGATTTTGTTATTTTCATATCTATCTTGAAGAGCTTTAAAAGAAAACTGAAAGTATCATCAGCAGTTTCAAGATTCGTTGCTTCATCAATTCATGCAGCCTTTTATTAACAGAACTTCTGTCAACTCAGTATTATTCATAATAATATTTTCAAATTGTAAGTTATTTCATTTAGTACAGTTACCAAAAAATCTAGGAACTGGTAATTCTGCCAAATGTATTTGTATTTCAGATTTAAATGTACTGCAGTTATTTCTTATTCAGAATGTAAAATAGATGATAGAATTTCTGCAATTCTTACCTCCAAAACTTCGTTCTTTCTTCCATTTTGGCAATTTCTTCATTGATATCTGTGACATCTTCTTTTTCATCAGCAAAATGTCTGTTTCTCAAGCTTCTTATGTCCATTTTAATATTTTGAAATGAACTGTACTTTATTTGAATTTCATTTTTCTCAGTACTGTGATTACATATCATGGTATTTCCTAACTATCTTTTCTAATGTAGTTATTTTTGCTTTTAACGCTGTTTTACTTTTGTGTGATGCCAACATTTTCATTATCTACTCTGGCTTAAGGGACATATGTATGTATGTTTTCTATGGTAAACTAAACAAACAGACTGTATTGAGAAAAAATAAAGAACTTTATTAATGTTAATTACTAATAATGTCTACCGACTTGCTCTGGCGTATTGCATTAACTGAATCCAGTAGTGAGTGTTTTCTTTTTTAAGCCTGTCAAATATTATTGAGCAGGTTTACTGAAATATGTTTAAAAAAGAAATTCAAAATTTTGTAAATACATTGTTTTCAGCAGTATAGTCATGTAGCAGGCAGGAATATGTTAATTTTTAGTTGACAATTTGCTTACAGTAATACATTACTAATGTTAAATTGATAATCAAGTATGCCGGACATTTTTAATATCTTTAAAATATTCATTTTCTCTCAAAGCTGTCAGACACTGGTAGTTTGTTCAGGTCTCGGTGAACAGACTGGCTGCATAGGCATTTTCATGGTTTTCCCCATGTGCAACGCAGATACTAGCCAGTTTCCCTTTAAAAGTCCTGGACGGAGCATTTCTTCTTTTCCGTGTACGTAATAGTGGTTATACTTTTTAGTGCCTAATAGCGAAGTACATATTATTATTATTATTATTATTATTATTATTATTATTATTTTAAGAAAAGGGATTCTAATGATTTAGTTTAATTCTCAGGAGATGATAAGATAGCAAAATACTGTGCAGAACTGAATAGTATCATGTGCAAGTTAAAGAAATGACAAAATGTTAAAAATCAGCATCCATCAAAGTACTGTGTAAGCAACAAAAACTGATCATCAGGATTTGTTTGTGAGCATGCTTGGCATAGCTGCAAGAAAGCAATGGTGGAGAAGGCTCATTTGGCTATAAATATTTCATCATTTTATAATATGTTTTCCCTTGAGCTACTTTAATTTTGAACTTGTTTATCTATTTTAAAAAAAGTGCCCAAGGAGTATATCCATTGTATAGCACATTGTGCACCATTGAATCCATTGTATAGCAGACAGCAAAGTAGGGCTATTATGATACTGATTTTAAAAAGTTGGTTTGATTAAAAAAAGTGTTAAATCATAAATATTTTCAACAAAAAATTTGTCTTCCATTTTTCTAAAAATAATTTAAAACTGTGGTTGGTTATATTCATAATTTCCTTTTTGTGATTTGTAGTAAATACTTATGTCATTTTTAAGCTCATTTCAAGTCTTGTTTTATTTTGAATGAAGATGGACAATAGAAATTGTAAGAATTTAAAGCAGTGATAAGATTTACAAATTTTGGCAAATGCAAAGATTTAATAGGTACATCTTATCGTCAGTAGTAAGTGGTGCTTGTATGCATATTTAAGTATCTGAAAATTATATCTGTGTCAGAATAGTCTATAGTGACGAAAGAAAAAATGTTAGTGACATAATTGAATGTCAAGAACAGCAGCTAATGATAACTGAAACTTATATATATGTTACCATGAAGGACCGAAATTGGAGAATGTCGACTTTCACCAAAGAATATCAACATTCACCAAATACATCGGTGAAAGACCGAATATTTCACTACATTCTTGTATATTCGGACCCTCACCGGTGTATGTCGACAATCACAGATATGCTCTGGTGAAAGTCGAAAACAGAGGTCATAAAGTGCCATAATAGTTTAAGTTGTTGCAATAAATAAGATTTGAATCACATAATTTAGTAAGTTTTTATTATTGTTATTTTTTTTTCTATTTAGAAGTACTGTATAATTAAGTGTTTTAACTATTATTTCCTTTCTCATTGATGTATTGTGTTTCGGTTCTCGTCTAATCTTATTTCAAGTCTCAGGCGTTTATTGCTACGAATACGGAAAGAAATACCTAGCGTATTCGAAAACTAAGTACCGTTTCATTCTAGCGCCGTCGCAGCGCTGTGGTAGGCGTCCCGCGCATGCGCACTAGTCTTTCTTGTTCACTGACTTTCAATTGTCGCCATTTTGGTTGCTCTATGTTGTGTTTTCAGTTTGCTGTGCACATTCAAAATGTTTAAGACAATTAGTTCCCCCGCTGACTGTGAGATTCGTGCCGTGATTAAATTTTTGAACGCGAGGAATGTTAAACCGGCCGAAATTTATCGTCAAGTGACAGAAGTTTACGGTGAATACGCGATAAGTGATGGAATGGTGAGAAAGTGGGTAAGAATGTTTAATGCAGGTCGAACAAATGTCCACGCCGAGGCTCGGAGTGGTCGGCCTTCTGTTGTCACCGATGATTTGGTAAGGAAAGTTGATGAAGCAATTCATGAGAACAGACGCTTCACAATGACAACTCTTTCAGAGGCATTTCCACAAATTTCACGTACTGTTTTGTTCGAAATTGTGTCTGACCGCTTGAATTATCGCAAACTGTGTTCCCGATGGGTTCCAAAAATGCTCACTGATGTTCACAAAACAAAGCGACTTGGTAGTGCCCTGACATTTCTCACGCGGTACAGTGATGAGGGAGAAAACTTTTTAAACCAAATTGTGACAGGTGATGAAACTTGGGTGTGTCATTTCACACCAGAATCGAAACAACAATCGATGGAGTGGAGACACACTCATTCTCCGAAAAAACAAAAGTTCAAAGTGACAATGTCATCACAAAAAATCATGTGCACTGTCTTCTGGGATAGGAAAGGCGTTTTGCTTACTGAATTTCTTCCCAGAGGTGAAACCATTAATGCGGCACGATATTGTGAGACTTTAACAAAAAACTAAGGCGTGCCATTCAAAACAAACGAAGAGGAATGCTCAGTAAAGGAATTGTGTTGCTCCATGACAATGCTCGGCCCCATACTGCTGGTGTCACTCAATCGTTAATTCGACAGTTTCATTGGGAGCAGTTCGATCACCCGCCGTACAGCCCGGACTTGGCGCCGTCCGACTATCACTTGTTCCTGCACATGAAGCGCGAGCTTGGTGGCAAGCGCTTTGGATCTGACGATGACACGAAAAATGCTGTGGAGTCGTGGTTATCGAAACTGGCGGGAAGTTTCTTTGACGATGGTATACAAAAACTGGTCACCCGCTATGACAAGTGTTTGATCATTGGCGGAAACTATGTTGAAAAATAGTTTAAGACATGTATTTTCATGTAAAAATAAAATTGGATTCGAAAAAATTGTTTTACTTTTTTTTTTTTTTTTTTTTTTTTTTTTTTTTTTTTTCCAAAACGGTACTTAGTTTCCGAATACGCCTCGTGTAATATTGTTATATGTTCAACATTCACTATAATACATGGTAAATGTTGACATTGGCCGGTGTAAGTCAGAAAAGAATATTTGGAAAATATTTCGGACATACACCAAGAGACTATGTGAATGTTGACATTCGCAGGTGAAAGTCAACATTCTCCAGATTTTGGTGTTTCACCGTAACATATATACATATATTTAATACTGTGTTCATTTAAAATGCTTATTTCAGCGAAAACCTTCTCATACCTTTAGTTAATATTTTATGTTTTTTTTTTTTTTTTTTTTTTTAATTTAGTAATGCATAAAAATACAAGTCTGTTTGTATATCAATGATTTGAATATAGTTACAACAACTTTCGTTCCCCGTTTTGGTTGATATTGAGCGTCACTTGCATCCCTGGTTTTTTTCTGGGGGGGGAGTAAGGAGAGTTTTGTTGAAGAATAATTTTTCACTTTTTGAAATCAGCATATTAATGTTTTTTTTTTTTTTTTTTTTTTTTTTTTTTTTTTTTTTTTGTGGGCATAAAAGTAAATTTATATGTGTAAATTACAAGTTTTATCTAAATTGCTTTAATTCCAAATTCAAGTAAGTGTAAGAAGAAAGTATTGCACTTGTATTTGAAGAATACTTGTAGAAAGTATTGCAGTTATATTTATGTAAAAATTAATTTTTAATTTGTAAATTAAAGTGAAAATTATATTTTTCCAGAAACTCAGTAAAGATTTCAGAGATATAAAAAGTAAACTTCAGTCCTATAGAGAAGAAAAAGAAGCTCTATCTCAAGAGCAGTCATCATTATTTAAAGAGAAAACTCGTTTAGAATTAACTATTAAAGATCTGCGTGATGAAGTGGAAGGTGATGATAGTTCACGGAAAAGAGCTGAACGGGAATTAGAGAGATTAAAAGAAACCATTGCTGTGAAATTGTCACAGCTGGAAGATATTCGTCCTCGATATGAAGCACAAAAAAAGAGGGAAGAGGAATGCACTAGAGAGTAAGTTTGATTTTAGCTATTTGTAAAATGTACTTTCAAAAGATTTTGTGTACTTTTATTCTTAGCATAACTTCCTAATTTTCTTGTAGCATTATAATGGTGTGAAGGGGGGGGGAATTTCTTAAGGTTCTAAGTAGCATGTTATTACTGTTTTTGGTGGTTAAAAATTTCTATTGTAGAATTATCAGTAAATATTATAAGTTGGAAAATTTTCAAACAAAGAAACAAACATTATTTGAGTACTCGAATGAGCATATATTCAAAAATATATGGCACTGCGACATTTTAATCCTTCTGTTAAATTAATGAAAAATTGTGATGGTATAAACCTAGTTTTTGCTGCTGAGACAATTCCCCTTCACCAGGAAGACACCATTCACAGATTTTTTTAATATTGTAGTGGGAATTGAATGACATACTTGCAAAAGAGCAGTACTCGATCTTGTCTCTGACATGATGGCCTTGCATTGTCTTGTCATAATGACCTGGACTATAGCAACCTGGCTTGTAGACATCCCAGTCCATCCCCATAGATAGTCCATATATTTAATTCAAGATTTTGACAAGACAATTCAGTTCATTTTCCATGCTAGTAAGTAAGCTCTGTACAGCATACATTTTAGAGAGAGCATGATTGTATTGAAAAAAGAATTGAATATATATGAAGCTGTTATTGTTTAAAAATAGCATTTGATAGCCTTTTAGGCTAACAACCCACATGTATCTCATCATTGTCACCGTCCTACATAAAGTTTTTGGTCTGGGAAGTGGGAAGGGGAAAATCTGAGATTTCCAGATGAAAAAACAGTTTAATAAATAATAAATAAACTTATTTATTCATTAACAATTGACTAATCATTATAGATTAATTCATAATTATTTTAAAATATAATTATGCAATTAAAAAAGTACTTAAATTCTTTCTGGCTTTCTAAAAATTTCTTGTGATCCACTCTTTGGAAATCACTGATCTAAAATACCAAGACGAACATCTGTATTCACAGTAAATTCCTTCACAAAAACCAGAAGGGTAACCTCAACCTAATAAAATAAGTTGTATTGCCATACTGGTATTGGCAACTGAAGAATGACAAAATAAACTAAAACCAACAGCTCAAAATCATCCATCGAGGAGATGTTTTGGCTTTTCTAGCAGGATCTACTTTATCTTTATTCATAATGAAGAATACCTAACACAAAATAATGCATAGTAATCAAAGCAAAATAAAAATAATATCTAATGAATGACAAGAATACCAAACCTATATTTCATTTATAGTACATTTCTTACCACATACTCACTCGTATTATGCAGTAGACAACGGAAATTATATGTGCAAACAGGTTGTTCATAGGCTACAAAGGACTGTGTTAACTCTTGCCAAGTGAAAGTCCCTCCATAATGGTAAAATCTCTTCAAAACCATAGATGGTTGTTACAGTTTATGCAGAAAGTTTCTACTAGGGCAATTCATATTACATATACCAGTGGTGGCCAAAGTGCAGCTCGTGACCCTGATACGGCTCTCGCAGACAATTTGTGTGGCTCGTGCATATAAAATATATGTATAAAATATGTATAGAAGTTTTCATGGCACCTCGAAATGGCATGGTGTAGATGTGCACCTCGTATTTTTGGTTGCAATCGGCCGCACTAAAAGTATATAAATATATTTATATATATATCTCCACTCTGTTACCCGGCTCAGTGATCTCAGTTTTTTTATATCTTATATGTTTGTAAATTGTTGCATTTTTTGCTTTAAAAATGATTGAATTATGTTGTTTTTATCTTCCGGTTAAGGTTTTTTTATGCCTTTAGTAAATCTGTATGCAATAATTTTTAGAATTATCAACAATTTTAAAAGTTGTTTAAGTGCCGACTAAGCCTAATATTTTGATTACCATGGCGGCCATTGCTTTGTTTACATTTGAAATTTAGCAGAATAGTGGATTTGTTGCCAAGCTAGAGAAACTAAGCTTCGCACACAACAAAGATAACGCCTTCATTTATTATTGCGAATTAAATCATGCTTAATCCTTTCTGGAATTTTGTCGAGGAAATAAGCGTTTAAGATTTACTTCGTAATTTTAATATAGATATTTTGAGTTTTTATGTATTTTTTTTGGCCTTGTCGCGAAGGGAAACTGAATTAATTGAATGAGAAATACTGAATCGTTTGTGAAAAACTGTTTCTTTTTTGTTTTGGTTGCTTAATTTCTTTTATACATCGTTTTAGATTTATTATAGTATTTGAATAGAACATGTGGCAACAATTAGATAATTCTTCAAATGATATAAATTTATATTCATTCTGAGTTATAATATGGATGAAAAGTAACGCTGTTAAGTGAACCTAGTGCCAGAGTGTCGCTATGGTAAAAAAATATAGAGAATTTTAAAATGTGCATTTATTCTGTTGTGGTTTATGTGCTATCGACAAAGTAGATTTAATTCAATCCAATAAAGTTTAAATGAAATGCAAGAAACAAATGCGTATAATTTAATATTTCGTGCAAGGAAGTCATGTTGTATACATCAGATTTTTTGTGTTACACTTTTAGTGTATTTTTATGCAAATTTTTGTTTATAAACTTATTTAATTTATTTACCACTTTGAATATTTTCTCTTTGAGTTTTTGACTCAAGAGGCAGCCAGTTTAGTGTCACATTTAAAGTTATTCCCAAATATTTGAGCGTTTTACCACTCTTGATCCTCACTCTGTTTCATCTTAACATTTGTCGCCAACTTAGAGAAGGAGCCTTTTTCAAATGTCAGCATTGAGATATTCTCATGACTAATTTCCAATTTATTTAACTTGCACCCACTGATATATTTTTTTAATGCTAGTTTGGCTTTTTTTTATAACTTAGTCTATTGCTTCCTGTAACGACTAGCACAAAATCATCTGCATAAACTTGTAAAACAACTCCTTCATCAAAAAAGAGTTGTAGTACAAAATTGGCAACATTATTCCAAAAAGTTGGTCCCAATGCAGAACCTTGTGGAGCTTGCTTACGATAATTTGTCTGAAATATGAATAGCATTATTTTTATATACCATATGTGGGTTATTCAAATAACTTGCTACGATATTATGCAGATTTCTAGGCAGTGATTTCTCAGTTTGTATTCTCAGACTGAGATCCATCATAATATTCTTAATCTTCCATAACTTCAAGAAATTGTTCCAAGAGCTTCCTTTATACTGCTGCTCATTATTAGGCCATTCCATTTTATTATTGCTACAGTCAAAAGTCTTTCATTCGGACACCCATAATCCGGAATGATCTATAATCCGGACCTCAAAGCTAAAAACTTTCTGCGCATGCGTCCGTTGGCGCATGCGCATAGGCGTTTACGCTTGCGCGTAAGACCTTTACAACTGCGCATATGCGTGTGCGCAAGCGCAGAATACGTTTACGCATGCACGTTTAATGTGTAATGGACGGTATAAGCTAAAATTATCTAATTATCTATTTCAGTTAATGTTGATGATTGCGTTGTTCCTTAATCTTCGAATTGGATCCGACTTATTATTTTTTGCAGACCGTAAGAGCAATTTTATAAAAGTAAGCTTGAACTTTCGATTATGTCAAATAGAATTTCCGATGGAGCTCCCAAAGGATCTACAAAGCGAAAGTATGTTTCAATGTCCATCAAACAAAAAGTAGAATTGCTGCAAAAAATGGATAAAGGCATATCCTTTCTTTCTCTAACCATTCCGAAATCTGTTTTTGAATTTCATGCTGCTCTGCGGGGAAGAAACGTCGCAGTGCACAATGAACTGGAAGTTGATCTGTCAGCATGTCGCAGATCCTCATCCTCATCTCAGGGCACATGTTTTATTTTATTCAGGCTTATAATTCCTTACTAAATGTAGTATTTCATCTCGATGTACTTCCGTCTTTGATTTTTAAATCAAATTCCTCGTCATTATAAATATCACGAATACACATCAAATAGTTTTCTGGTTGCAATTTTCTAATTTCGACTATGCGTAATATATGCTTTGACGCATGCGTGCGTTGAAAGAAATGTTTAATAAAGTAAACAAATAAATATTAAGCTTTTTTTTTTTTTTTTTTTTTTTTTTTTTTGTAAATTTTGATACCCTTTAGATCATAATTGTTCTTTATTTCATAAATTACGGTTTCATATTTTTAATTTTATAATTTCTGCATGCCATCTTACCAGATTTAAACTGATGATCTATAATCCGGAAAAATCGATAATCTGGAATCGCCGAAGTCCCGATGAGTCCGGATTAACGACTTTTGACTGTATTAGATTTAATTCTTATCGTGGCAATTTTAAAGTTCATGCCAGATGTACCTTTCATAGTTATAATTCCCATATTTTACTTTTGCGTATCTAATATACTTCTGTAAATAGCCAGATATCTTGAGGATCAAAGGTATTCTAATATTTTCTTCAAAGTGCTTCTCTCTCTCTCTCTCTCTCTCTTCTTTTTTTTTTTTTTTTTTTTTTTTTTTTTTTAAATACTCAAGTTACTATTCCACCAAGGAGAAAAGTTCTTTTTTCTTTTGAACTAGGGCAATAATTCAATACTTTTTCACAAATATCTCTAATAATTAAGTTTATATCTGGTACAGTGTTAACTATGTCTTTTCCATATTTCATCTATAACTTCTCAAACGTTTAAATATGTGTCTTTTAAGAATAATCCAATTTTGATTTTTAACCCAATACGAGACTGATTATGATTCTAGGAGACTATACTATGATTTCAAATAAAATATAATTATGATCACTTAAATTAATACTGTCCAAAACTTGCCAGTTACAAATTTCAGTATTGTTAATTAGCTTTGAAGCTGTAATTAATCAATCCGTGACTTGCCCAGCACTAAATAATTAAGTGAGTTATGTCTGTTATTATAATCACCATTTATAATTTTTGAAATATCCCTAAATTTTTCTAGTAAAGATGCCAGAATTTCCGTAGTCATCTATGTTCCCTGAGGGTGAGAAATAGC